TTGAATTAGCATCTTTACATGTACTATCCCTACAGACGCCATTACCGAACAAGCGCAGATCTCGAAATCCTTTGTCGATTAACCCTTAATTTCTCATGGAAGAAGCTGAGAACCCTTCCGGAAGATTCTTTGTCCCTTTTCACGCAGTGATATTATTATACTCCACTTCCTGTCTACCAAGAAGTAGCCACGACGCCGCAAAGTCAGAAAATATGAAGATTACTGTTTGAAGCTTGAGCGCAGGTGAGGATCGAAGGGAAGAGGGGGACGTGTGATGCCAGTGCCACTCGGGAACATTTTTACACTTTCACACTTTCAGGTACTTGATCCGTGCATGCCAATCAGTCCTAGTTTTTAACAAACGATTTAGCTTTCAGATGGACCCAATTAGCAGAAATGTTAACATCTAAGAAGGCGAAAAAAAGGTGGCGAGGCTTGGCGTGGAGGGGCCGAGCTGGGGCAAGGAGGGAAGGCCATTTTCAGTCCCCCTAGAGCCCGTCCAGCCCCGCCCTCGCCTCCTCTCGCTTTATGGTCCTGGCACCCTTGGCTGGCACCTTTTCATGATGGCAGGGTGATGGGTGGACTAGGGTTAACTTTCTTGAAGTATAGGGTGATGCCTTTTAGGTGTTATTTAGGGATTCTGATGAATTAATTTTCGTGGAAATCGTATCCTAAGACCGTTTGGATGACGCTTGGGACATTGTCGGTGGTGTACAGTTTCTAAAGATCTCATTTTCTTCTCACTTGATAATACACAGCTTTATTTGCCCTAAAGTATCATTGCATATTTACTTTTGTTTAGTCACATTATCAGCTTGTAGCATGATTTAGTAGGATCAAAATGTGGTATTTTGAAATTCCCTACACTGAAAACCTTGAGTTTATCTCCTTTTCAGGTGATTCTTGACACTCCTATAGATTGGTCAACCTGCATACTTTTAATCTCTGAACTTGAAATATAGACAAATATCCCCTGTACAGTGACATCACATATTTAATAAGATAAGCCTCAGATATTTTATGTGGAGTTCTTTTATTTAGGGGGTATATATATCATTGACAATAATTTCTTACACTAGAAATACTTAATGATGATATTATATTTATTTTGATTTAATCCTGTCATTGATTATTTCACTGATGAAATCTGATAATGAATTGCAGGAAATCTCCATGTAGTCATGGGTTTATATTATTTTATATTTGTTACTATACATATTTTATAGTATAGTATTTTCCACCATCTCATGAAAGCTAATATATTTTTATCTAAGACTGCTTTGTAACAAATAATAGGTGGGTTTTAGATTTGGTAAAGGAAATCTTTATTTATGTAAAAATTTGCTCTCTTTCCTTTGTTATTATTATGACAATCCATAGATTTGATGGTAACTATGAGATGGCACCAAAAAGATAGGGTGGGGTGGAGTTAGGTAGGGTTGGCTGGGGTGGGATGGGATTGGGTGGGGTTAGGAAGGTTTGGAGAGCTTGGTTTGGGATGGTTAGGGTTGAGTTAACTGTGGCTCAATGGTTAATGGGGCTGAGAACCCCTTGCTAAGAAAATATGTAAGCAAGGTTATGAGAGTACAGCTTAGGTGGAAACATGTTCTTTTGGTGTTTCATGTGAATTTTTAAGCCTTTGAAATGGCTCATTAACCCAAAAGGTGATCAAGTTTATTCAAGTCATATCAGAAACCATGAGTTAAGATATTGTTTCCATCTCAAAAAATCATAGAGATAAAAAGTTGCCTATATATTTTTGAAGTTGATTTACATTATTTGATAATTTAGCCTTATATAAATGAAAACCAATTAAAAGGCCTATGTTTTTTTTCCTGATTATACAGGATCCACATTTTTATGTATTTTATTAAGATCTACTCTACATATATCTATATATATTGATGTTTGTCCTGTGTACTAATCAGGCTCAGGTGTCCAGTATGAAATTAGGAAACCTATGTGATCAGTTGTGAATAAGCTTGCATTAATTTGAACATTATTTAGAAGTATTTTCTTTTTGTAAAATGTTACACAATAACAGTTGTAATTTTTAAATTTCACTTTTGCAGATGAGAAAAAGCAATCAAGATGGGGGATGGAATGCTATCATTGTACTGGAACAACCACAAGGCCACTTTTTGCCACATTCTGGCAACTCTCAGGGAGAAGGTGAGTTTAAGGTTCAATATGTATGAAGAATGATAAATATGATTAAATGAAATGTCATGTTTGGCAGTCCATATTTTTTATTTGCAGTAAAGTAGAATAAGCAATAATTTTTATATCATATGGAAGTTGTATATGAAAAAGCTCTCATTTCTTTTTCTTTCTTTTTTTTTCAAAACCTAATATCAGAATGTACAAAAGTGAAAACTAATGGTAATGTCCAGAAACAAATACAATTAGTAGTAAATATATGAGTAGAACTGTGCCATTGTAATTTTTATTTAAACATGGAGTAAATATTTATAATGGAGATCCAGCAGAAGTTGATAATTGGTCTTGGTGTTAGGAAGTAGTTGGAGTGCACTTACTGCTACACTTGTGTTAACCATTTGATCTGAGGATGGCAAAAGTACATGCCATAACCACATATTTTTTATTTTTTATTACCGATTGTCTTTACACAATGATGGCTCCATAAGTGCTTAATTTCCAAGAAGTGTATAAGTAGTCCTACCAATCTTACCAAGTAACCCTTTTCTGTTATTTTTGGAAGATTTTTTAAAATGATTTTATTGATGTTAGTTTTGTTAATCTTATGATGATGGGGTCCTGAATATTTTTTTGCAATGTAATACTACACAACAGTCTAGACTTTGTGGCTAAGCCATAGCTGTATATAGCTGGCCCACCCATTGTAAGTCATGACACATATATACATCTTAGGTTCTTCTGTCAGGAAGGCTATAACTGTACTCGTCAGTGAAGGGTTGATAAGATTATGATAACTCATGATATCAGTAATAATGATACAGCATTAATACTAATGGCTTTGGATTTTTTCCCTGAAAACTTTAAAGAAAGGGGAAACAAGTGATGTCTTATAAGCCTTCTTGGTGGAGCCATCTATGTGCCAACAAAATTCACTAAAGACAACTAAAGTAGCCAGGTGATTACCTGGTATCGATTGGTGAACATCATGTTTTTGTGAATGGCATTAAGATCTGAAAATCATTTTCACACCCTTGTCTTTGTTTATAGACAAGCTGGATAATTTCTTTCTTTCCATAAAAACATTGAAAATCAAAGATTTAGGTCAACTTATGAAGGCTATCACAAAAGAGCTAACATGTATAAGCATAAGAGTCTACTTTAGTGTACCATGTTCAACAGAGAACAGGCTTCATTGTCATGTACTTTTAACCAGATAGTGGTTTATAGAACATAACCTTTATTTTATATCAGTAGCAGTACTATTAAATTATAGGTGAATTTGGTAGAACTGTAGCTGTCAATAACAAATGTTGTTATAGGTTGTACCATGTTGAATTGGTAAGAAAAGTTTGCAGTCACTATTTTATCTCCACCATCGGCATCACTTAATTGGAGGCCTTTCATGCTGCTGGTAACCCACTAATGTAAATGTAAATGTATGCTTTTTCTTAATGGACATTCCTAAATGTCAAACATTTAAAATGACATCTGTAGGTCCTAGAGAAGGGTTTGACTATAGTAAAGTTTTGTTTACAATTTTATCTGGTTCATTTCATGATTCTGTAGTAAGCCAGTCAGACACATTGAATTTTATGTCAGTGCATATATACGCTAGGCTACCAGTACACTTCACTTTTTCCACCATTGTTATCAGCTTGTCCTATAAATAACAGTATCAATATGTCTGTGTTTCTAATAACTTAACCAGTTACGTACCTTTTCAAAACAATGTCACCAAGGCATGTGTGCAACTCACAGGGATGTGCTTGCAAGAGTAATTTGTTTTATATTTTATAAGTACATTTCATCATTATTTTTGTAAGTTAAAGATGAATTAGGGAACTGTATCACCACTACAAGAAATACATAATATACAAATAAAGATTTATTATATCAATTTTGAAAATTAGAGTTATTGATACATTCATGCTGATACTCACTCTGATACACAAGTACAAATACTTGTACTCTTAGAAGTTGAAAAATGTTTTTCATATTAAATTCTGCTTCTTTCAGTTTTTAACCTCGGTCTTACATGAATGGGATTGGAATTTGTGTGGAAACTTTACTCCTGTACCATTTGAAATCCACTATTTTATGATTAGGATGCTAGATTTGCTATTAGGTTATATTCAGGTTTATATTTATTGGTGCATTATTTTTATTGTAGATTAACCCTACATTGGTGGGCTGAAATCGCTCTTTAGCTCCTTTTCCAGGGAGTGAAAGCAGTGCACCGATTTTCCCTTTGGGGCGTGTAGTGTGTTCACCCAGCTAGCTCATTAGCCATTCAGCTTGCTCTAGCGGTTGATTTACAGAAAATCACTACTTCCATTATTTACGCTTCAGAAACGTGTGTTTGGAGGTTTATTGTAAACATATGAAATGTTCTAAGGATATTATATTCTTATATTCTAGTATATACTCCATTTTAAGAGTGTTTGTACCATCTCAGCTTTCAGTCAATAGTGTGCCTTCAAGAGAGAACTGAAGCACTAACACTCTGAATGATTCTCTTTATTATTATTATTATTATTATTATTATTATTATTATTATTATTATTATTATTAGAAATAGATAAGAAAAAATGAAACATAATTACAAACTGCTCCTCTTCTCTTCACTTATGATACTTCTTGAAACAAAGAGTAAGTATGCAGGTACACAGCTCAGGTCCTACACTTGACCCTGGTCGCTTTTCTTTTGTGTTCATTCCTCTAGCGAAGCTTACATCACCAGCAATGCCAGAACAGAGTATCCAGTGGCATGTGAATTTCCTCTTCCTCCTCCTGATGGTCCTGAGGAGGAACACACTGGAAGGACCATGGGTATCCTCCTTGCTGCACCGTTCCCTGCACCAACTCGCTCCTGAAGTCTACCTGTGTGAGCTTTCTACTGAGGGCGCAGTGGACAACTAGTGCATTAGACAACTGTCCTATCCAGCAGATAGAAGATCTTGTACCACTTGATGATCTTTCTGGCTGCTTGATATGAATGCACCAGTTGATCCAAGAGGTCAATGCCCTTCATGCTGTTTTGTGGGAAAAGATGAGTTTGGGTTTTGACCTCTCTACCCCTTGGCATTTGGGAGGCAGGGTGATGGAACTTCTGATGTGGGTTGTGGAAAGCATTGTCACTAGATGCTTATCAACCCACTGAAGGCAGAGTACTGTGGTCAGTGTATTTTGGAAGTTGATGTGTCCCTGGCTCACCTGCAGGTCCGAGGACATGCCCTTCCTATTGAGAGAGACTGTACCAACAATGCTGGTCCTCTGGGCCTGCAGGTAGTGGAAGAGAGTTGGGGAGGAATACTAAGTGTTGGTGTGCAACTTACATCCCTTTTTGAGCAGCTCTGCCTTCTCCATCAAGTTGATAATGGTTTTCATGTTAGTGGGGAATTCCCTGCGAACTTGCCTTGTGTAGATCTTGAAGGCTGCTTTATACCCTGACTCTGGACTGCCAGATGAGTAGAACTTCATGGTGATAGCTGTCACCGGCAGTGAGCCATGATGCCAACACGCATGCCTTTCATGACGGATAGGTTTCCATGATGGCTATAGCCGTACTTGGGAGTATGAGGTTAATTTTAGATTGTAATTATTATTACTACTATTATTATTGTTGTTGTTATTGTTGGTATTATTATTATTAAACTAAGTGCAGCGGTTAGCTTGTTGGTCTGGTAATTTTACGGACCTGTGTTCAATCCTGCGCGCTTCTAGTTGATGGTAACCCGGGCCAATCCTGGCACACAGGAAGATTAAGAATCAAAATAAAACAAGACAGTTTGCCTCAGTAAAGACTATCCACTGTAACAAATAGAATTAAAACTAAATCTAAATCTTTAAATCTGTTATATTTGTTATTTTTATTATTGTTATTTTTGTTTTCAGGAACGGTACACTGATGCAACGCTAGCTTGTGATGGAAAGTTTTACCCTGTACATAAATTGGTGCTATCAACATGTAGTGAATATTTTGAAAATATGTTTGAACACACACCATGTAAACACCCAATAATAGTGTTGAAAGATGTGAAGCCTGATGAACTAGAGGCACTGCTTAGTTATATGTATGCTGGTGTAGTTAGTGTTGCTCAGAATGACCTTGCAAGACTTATCAAGGCAGCTGAGATGCTGCAGATTAAAGGCTTAGCTGTACCTGATGAACCCCCACCTAGTGAAGAGACTAGAAAACAAGTACCTGCAAGGAGTACTAGAGAAGAACGAGTAAGCCCGCAGCCAAAGAGACGAAGACGGGAGGAAAATGGAACCCCATCACATGGCGGTTCACAACCTTCAAGTAGTCCACCTTCCTCACCTAGAGCCTCACCATACCTGCCTGAGAGTGAACAGCCTCGGGCACGGTCCAGAACACACAGTGATGGCCATAGGTTAGATCAGAGGACAGAGCAAAGTGATCTCACCCCACATGAGTCGCCTGCATCTGATGTCAAGGTTGGTACAGTTTGATAATTTTGGTATTTTTTTTTATTTTTAATCCCTCAGTGATGGGCATGGCTATAGCTATCATGGTGTAATCATGTATTACCTGTGTGCGTGTCATGATTTGCTCTGATGAGGGAGTGGGTGGGTCAATTGCACAGAGCACAAACCCTGCCATGAAGACTTACGCTCTTGCTTAAGAATTATTTCACTCAAAATTCTGGCCCATCATGATAGGGTTATATTGGACATGTCAATTGATATTTGTGACATTAATCCTTTTGCATGCAGTTATTTTCTATGTGTTTTTTTTTAACTGAGGAACAGACTTCATCTCAGCATTGCTGCCAAGCCTATATTGGACATTATAATTAATCAAATACTCAAAATCTTGAGAAATTGCTAAGCAGCAATGTACCTTGACAAAACAACTCCTTACCTTATTACCATATAGATTATGATATGTTTTAGCAGAAAATTGTGTTTTGGGTGAATGTTATTGTGTAGCTATGTAACACATGTATATCTCCACAAGGCTAAACAAGCAGCATAGATACATGTACAATATGTGGGTGTGCGAGAGGGTTAAATATTTGATATAGGCATAGACATAATTTTACGTATTTTTTCTGAAATTTTCAGCAAATTATGGTTGATGAATCCCTAGTCAAAGAAGAAATGGTGGAAACACTAGACAGTAGTCAGTCTGAAGGAATGGACACAGGAATGCAATATGGTCATGTAGGAAGTGATACTGGAATGGATGGCAGCCAAGATGATCATTCGAGCCACATGATAGCTAATAAATATGACCAGCCAGTTCTCCCTGGACAGACACAACCTCTTGCTGATGCAGTTGCAGAAGCACTTGCTGGTCCATCAGGAATGCAAGGGGTAAGGTTCACTGGCTTTTGTCTAATATCAAAACCAATGAATATTAGATTATATCACACATTTAACATAAAGATTAATGCGTGTATTATAGCCTCTATTTTTTCACTTGTTTTTAGTTTACTTGACAATAAAGATTGTATTATAATCCTTTCTTTGGCATGTTTTACACTCATTTTAAATTGTCTACGTTATGAATTTGTGATTGCACAATTATTACCATTAAATTTACCATTTTATGTAGATATTATTTCTGTTACTTCATCTTGAAGCTTCAATTCACTTTCTGTAGATAAACTTCAAAGCTTGGAATTACAGATCTGTTTAAAGAAAGAATGATTGTTTTGTCATTTTGATTTATTTACTTGTTATGAATATGATAATTGAAAGGTATGTGGGTAAGAAGAAAATACAAAGTAGATATAGTCAGAACTGATTATTTTCTAGTCATGACCTGCTAAAACAAACATTTTTTTTTCTTGCTTTTTTTTGACAGGGCTTGGTAGTAGTGACATGTCTGGAGGCTTCTCATCAGAAAACTATGGTGGAGAAAGTAGCCAAGATGTTCACCAAAGTCAGCAAAGTGGTCCCCATGCACAACCACGGGTGAGTGTTCGATCCAGATTTTAAGAAAAAGGAGCCAGTGACCATAAATGTTCAAAGTACAAATTTTATGAGTGATATACCAATGATTTAATGAAGGGAGATATGAACAGTTACAATTTGAAAAAAAAAAAAAAAAATCCTAAGTGGAGGTTATTTGATAATTTTATTTTTGAGGATTTTGAGTAACATTGTTAATTTTTAAAAATAGTATAGATACTGGAACATGATAATGAAAAGTTTTCATTTTTATGGTATAATGCACAAGGATTTTTTAGTGTGGAAATCATGCATCACATATCAATTATTGCAGTATTTGGAAGCGCAAATCTTCTGTGTGTTGTATAATTATCTTACAATATGTTAAGATGAGATGTGCTTCTTTAGAATACATTGCTATTATCAGAGTTGTTATTTTTTATATTAATACTTTGAGTGTTTGGTAATGATTTTATTGTTCTAATGATTTAATTATTATTATTATTATTATTTATTATTATTATGAGGATTATTATTAATCCCTTGAATCCGGTTGCTTCATGGCAGTCACATGGACCAAAAATATGGGTATTAGGCTTACATCAGCTGCCACTCTGCCAGGTGTGCCAGGCAGACACTCGTGTGGTGACAAGACCTTATGCCTCCCCTTCCCAATGTTATTTTGCATAAGTGTTTTTAGCTTTTTTGCCATTTTCCAATGGCCTTATTTGTCTTTTGCTTTGCTTTATCCTGATGGTAATAGTCTTTTCTATCACCCTGGCCTTTGCTTATAATTTCAAGCTCACGTCACCCAGCCCAGGGCCATTTCTTCCCTACATGTTCACATCACCTGCTCCTCAAATTTGTTCATGATATGATGATCATGTCACCCGGATTGAAGGGGTTAATGATAATGATCATAATAGTAATGATAGTAATGATAATGAAGACAGTGATGCTAGTGACAATAATGATAATGATAATAACAATGATAATTATAATAATAATAATAATAATAATGATAATGATGATAGTAATAATAATGATGACAATAATCTCCATCATCATCTGAAGCAGAAAGAAATAGAAAGCAAAACTTGTTTCCTACACACCAATTCAGTTAATACAGTGGCTTTATTAACAAAATAGAAAACAATATGAAAAATATAATTTGAACATTGGGTGGATCTACATTATAAACCTTATAAAGAATTATTGAATTATTAGTTTGCACTTCGGGAAGTTATGAGATCTCTTTAGTAAGAGGAAGATGCAAAAGGATGGCAAGAAATATGTCCAGTATTCTGAAAATTGGGATGATGATTCTATTAAAAAATGATTGTATTAATGAAGATTTTAAATTAGATGAATTCCATTCTTTAAATCATTGGTGTTATAATTTTCATGATAGAATATTGAGTATAAAACATAATGGCTGATTAGTGTTAAATTTAGTTTTAGAATATTAACATAAATAGCCATGCTTATAGGTAAGGATAACTGATATCCAGATATCTTACAAGTAAATACCAAAAATTTGCACAAATCCTTTGTCATTGTTTGCCCTCATAACTGGTTTTCAGTTTTCATTTAGTTCCAGGAATCCATTTACTTCTTCCAGCTTTTAACCTTTGCGATTATTGTGAGAAACTGATCACCATTTCCACAGATCCAAGATTGGGATAGTTGGGAGAAAAAGAAATAATACAGGACGGGTTAGGGGGACCAGAGGAAAATAAAAGGCTATTCGGAGATTGGCTGAAGCAAAAAGAAGTAGAAAAGAGGAAAGTCAGTAAATGATGACTGGTATCAGGGCAAAGGGAAAAGGGGTAGGAATACAGAAAGTAATAGAAACAGAAAAGTATATTTTGGAAAAGTACTTGTTGTAGAGGGTGGAAATAAAGTAGAAATAGAAAAGAAAAAGGTTGGAGGGAGGCAATGAAAATAATGGAATTTGAGAAGGGGAAATGGAAAGGGAAGGGGAAGGAAGAGGGAGATAGGGGAGTGAGAGAGTGAGAGGGAAAGGGAGAAGAGATGTGAGAATGAATTTAGTTGCAATTTGAAGGAGCAGGATAAAACAAGGGAGAAAAATGTTAGTATCTTTTGAATACTCTTTTATATATTTAGAAGATGGATAATGTTTTATACTCTTTATTCTTTCCAGTGTGGTCTTTGGTATATATGTTCTGTTAATGTAAAGGAAATGTAATATTCTCAGCAAAATTGTACTTGAACATTGAGAATGGCTCCTTTTTCTGTTGTTTATGATGTAGGTAGTCACTTCCTTTTGATTGTAATGATAATGTATTTTGATTTCTGGTAATTTGTAACAGTGTATATTCACTGGTCAGAATTGATGTTGATGGTCATTGAAAGCATGTTACTTGGGGCTTCTTAGAGGACAACTACAGGAAGCTGGAAATGATAGGTCCGAACACCAATTGTTATTCTGATTACAACATGAAAAAGAAAAAAAATAAAGAAGAATATTTGGCAGCGAAAAACTATGTGCCATCTGTAACTTAGGGCTAGGGCATATTACTGGATTTCTTCTTTAGGGGAGATTTAGTTGGCATTAAGAAATTCCATTTTTCTTATTTCAAGAAAAAAAGTGGAATGGATTTACTAGGTAATTTTGCAAATTGTATACTCAGGAGTAAATGTTGCCAGGTTAATGTTGGGATACTACTGGACTCCTATTTTTACTAATCCTGCTATTATTGGAAGAATTTTTTGAGTGATTAGGCATTCATAATAAATAGGTAGAATGTTTAGATGAAATTTTAATTGTATTATATTGCATCTTAAAATAGATTAATAAGATATCTTCTTCAACATGGAACGAGTTTTAATGTAATTGGTAATAGCATTAACCCGTTGTGTCACGGAAATCACAGTGCCGAAATCACGGGCAATGGGTTACGTGAGTGGCCAACATCCCGGGCATGCAGCGCATTGGCCAGGCATGCACGAACACCCATAAGTGGTGACAAGACTCTGTGCCTCCCCTTTGCAAAGTTCTTTTGTGTAAACATTTTAGCGTTATTGCCATTTTCCAATGTCAATATTTGTCTTTTGATTTGCTTAATCCAGATGGAAATAGGTTATTTTCCTTGCCCAGACTCCATATCATCTCTCTTATGTAGTAAAAAAAACTCAGTGCAAGGGAAAAAAATATGGAATATTTGGTTATTTGTGTCATATACCTTAGTCTTTTTTACTTTTCAATTTTACGTAATAGAACCGTTGCTGCCAGGAATATAGAGCACAGCATGGAAATGGCGTTCTTCCAGTCAATGCTTACACACCTTACATTCCACATTCGTTTATCGATGGGAATAATGCTAAAGCCTCTTTCTAAGTGTCAAATGAGTCAAACCACACACCCAAGAGGTTTGTTCACTTGTTGCAAGTATTTTCCGTCATCCTGGCCTTCACTCATGATGGCAAGTTCACATCACCCGGGCTGCGTCCATTTTGCCTGATGACGGCATGCCCATGTCACCTGACCCACTACCCAAATTTTTCTATGACATGACCGTAACATCTGGGTCCAATGGGTTAATGAGGAAGCAAAGGTATTGTGCTCTGCAATCTCCTTTTCTAAATAAAAAAGTAATGCTATTATGGTAATACACTAATAGCTTCTTGCCATTTTTGCTCAATGGCTTTGTCTGACTTCTCAAAAAGTATTAGATCTGGAATTACTTTAAAGATTGCTCATGCTTACCTGAACAGTAAGTCTTGAAAAATATTAAGAGCTGTTACATAATAGAGTTGTGTGCTTGTGTATGTGTGTGTGCCTGCAACTGCGTGCGTGTGTGCTTGCACACTATGAATGAATAGTTGAAAGGAATAAGGTTGATGAGAAGAGTTAAAATTCAATTCACATTATTTATCTGACCAATATGAATATTTTTCATGGTTAGTTATTAAGTATTATGTGTACCTGAATCACAAAAGGAAGTGTCTACATTTCATACATGATAAGATGTCTCCATAACCTGTGTTGAAATTAAGGAAGTTGCAGCAGATGGTTTAAGATTTGGAGGTGTAGATAATGGAATAGGAAATATGACTTTCTGTAATCTAGAAGTCTGCCTTGCTGTATGATTTAAATTACAAATCAAAGTTTCTTTATGTAAAACAATTATGTTTAAAAATCTGCTGCAGCTTTCACTTGGCTATGACTGTTGCTGCTGTCACTCAAGCTGGTGTTTGTGATCTTCATATTAGCCAAGAGAACTATTTTTCTCATGGTGTAACAACGGATATGAAGATGGTACGCAGACAGATCCTTCCATACAGACTGTATATGATTAGAAAAAGGGATGTTTGACATGGTTGCTATTTTTTTCCCATTTGAAGTGATTTCTTGTGAATTGCTTTCTTCGGGAAAGGGAGGGGAGGGGATGAACATG